CCTGGGCGGGGCCTACGCGGGGCCGACGAGGGGTACGAGGGGTCGACGAGGGGTACGCGGGGCCGACGAGGGGTACGCGGGGCCTACGCGGGGCCGACGAGGGGTACGCGGGGCGTACGCGGGGCCTACGTGGGGCCGACGAGGGGTACGCGGGGCCTACGCGGGGCCGACGAGGGGTACGCGGGGCCTACACGGGGCCGACGAGGGGTACGCGGGGCCGACGAGGGGCCTAAGCAGGGGCCGACGAGGGGCCTAAGCGGGGCCGACGAGGGGCCTAAGCGGGGCCGACGAGGGGCCTAAGCGGGGCCGACGAGGGGCCTAAGCGGGGGCCGACGAGGGGCCTAAGCGGGAGCACGACGGGAGGGGCGACTCGGAGGGTCGCTAAAAAAAATGCGCGCCTCGGGGCGCGATTCGGTGGGCCCTAGGAACAGGCCCTAGGAAGGGACCTGCTCTGATTCCATGAGAAAGTACGAACGAGAAGTGAATGACTATGAAAAGAAGTGGGTACAAATAGGAAACCCTAATTGGGTTGTACCCCCTATGGGATACCCCACTATAGCCTACAGAAACAAGTAAGCTATATGTTCTGACAGGGTTGGATGATGATCCTCCCTTGAGCTTGTAGCTTGTAGCTTCCTTATACTCTTAAGGAGTATGAGGTAGACTACTCTTCACTTGATAACTACTTTGTAGACTATGTGAGAGAGAGCCTTATGAGCATAAACTTATATTAAAGAGAGTATAGTACAAGCCTTATAGATCCATGAAGGATACATAGGCATGCATAGAAGAGTAACCATCAATGGTAGCCTTAGAAGAGAGTAGTATGAGAATATCAACTTTGGAGACATTGAAACTTGGTTGCTAGTGAGGCGCCTTTGTAGTTGAAGAGGAGATTGAAGGAGAAGCTTGGAATGAGCTTGGAGAGGAGCTTGATGAAGAAGCTTGAGAGGCATTGTTGTCATTGAAGAACCTTCTTGAGAAGTTGTAGAGATGCTTGATGTAGATGAATAGTATTGGAGCATATGGTGGTAGTTGAGCACTTGGTGAGTTGGAGATGTAAGCCTTGTTGAGTTGGAAGAGAGCTTAGTGAGTTGGATAAGTATGAGTGGAGGAGATGATGAGCTTTGTTGCCTTGGAATAGGTGGTGATGGGATAATCGTGAAGTCCTTAGGGATGAGGTGGCAACTTTGGTGACTTGGGAAAGGAAGGAATAAATGAGAGGCATGTGGAGGTTGATGACTAGGAAGTGGAAGCATGTGCTTGAAGGCACATGGGAGGAGGATAATTGGAGGAGGTAAATGACTTGGGTAAACTTTAATGAGTAGGAAAGGAAAGCACATGGAAAATCATGAGGAGTCATGTGCCTTATGGTGGGACTTGAGTGTCAAATTATAATGTTGTGTAGGCTGTAGTGGGGTAGCCTATATGGGGTACACAATTCTAAGGTTGCATACTTGTATCACTTTCATTCCTTAGTCATTCATTCTCGTTTCTTATCATGGTATCGAGCAGGTTCCCTCGTGGGAACTGTTCCTAGGGCCCACCAAGTCGGATTTTTTTTTTTCCTGCCCGGAGCGCACTTCGCTTAGGCCCGAGTCGCGCCTTGTGTGCCCTCTCAGCCGTCGCGCCCGTCCTAGGCCTCCTTCGGCCCCGTCGCGTCGCCCCTAGCGGCCTCCCTCCCGCCGCCCTTACCTGCGGCCCCGCCGCCCTTACCTGCGGCCCCGTCGCCCTTACCGCGGCCCCGCCGCCCTTCGCTGCGGCCCCGCCACCTTGCTGCGGCCCCGCCGCCCTTCGCTGCGGCCCCGCCACCTTGCTGCGGCCCCGCCGCCCTTCACTGCGGCCCCGCCGCCCTTACCTGCGGCCCCGGCGCCTGCTGCTGCGGCCCCGCCACCTTACCTGCGGCCCCGCCACCTTACCTGCGGCCCCGCCGCCCTTCGCTGCGGCCCCGCCACCTTACCTGCGGCCCCGCCACCTTACCTGCGGCCCCGCCGCCCTTCGCTGCGGCCCCGCCACCTTACCTGTGACCCCGCCACCTTACCTGCGGCCCCGCCGCCCTTCGCTGCGGCCCCGCCACCTTACCTGCGGCCCCGCCACCTTACCTGCGGCCCCGCCGCCCTTCGCTGCGGCCCCGCCACCTTACCTGCGGCCCCGCCACCTTACCTGCGGCCCCGCCACCTTACCTGCGGCCCCACCGCCCTTACCTGCGGCCCCGTCGCCTGCTGCAGCGCCACCCGAGCTGCCCCAGCCGCCATACCCAGCCGAGCAACCGATAGCCGCGCCGCCCTGCAGCCAAACCGCCGAGCAGCCCAGGCGCCCAGCAGCCGAGCTGCAGAGCCACCCAACCGCCGAGCCGCCCAGAAGCTGAGCCGCCCAGCAGCCGAGCCGCCCAGCAGCCGAGCCGCCCAGCAGCCGAGCCGCCCAGCAGCCGAGCCGCCCAGCAGCCGAGCCGCCCGCACCGCCGAGTCGCTCGAGCCGCCCTCTCCGGTAAGAGCAGCGCCTCTTTCTCCGCACTGCCCTTACCCTACTGTTTGCGCTGCTAGTCTACTTCTGTCATGGCTACCCGTAGTGTCCTCGCTTTTGACGCTGAGGGTAGGGCCATTAACTTTGACGTCTGGATAGATGACCTGCAGCTTTTTTTACAGTGCGATAGGGCAGACGGACTCTCTCTCTTTGACCTCACCTTTGGTGCCTCTCCTGCCCCTGCTGCTGATGCTGACGCCACTGTTCGCTCACAGTGGGCCACGCACGATGCTGCTGCACGTCTTGTTGTGCGTCGCCACCTTCCTACCTCTGAGCGTGCGCACTTTAGCCAGTACAAGAGTGCTCAGACCTTGTACGACGCTGTAGTTGCACGCTACTCCTCCCCTGCCACTGCTGCACTGAGCCGCCTCATGCTACCGTACCTCTTCCCTGACCTTGCTGCCTTTCCCACAGTCGCTGACCTCATTACGCACCTCCGCACTAGTAACACTCGCTACCGCGCTGCGCTTCCTGCTGACTTCTGCGCCAAGAACCCCCCCCCCATGTACATCACTCTCTACTACATAGTCACTCGGCTCCCGGACTCCCTTCGCGTAGTCAGGGACCAATTTCTCTCACTCTGTCCCACCACTCTCACTGTTGACCTCCTCGAGAAGGCCCTCCTAGCAGCAGAGAAGAGCATAGTCGCTGTGGGGGCCTCTCGTGGTGACCCGCGCACCCCCATCTTTGAGGGGTGTTCCCCCTCCCCTCTCTTGCCCTCTGTTGCCTCTGCTGCTACGGCCGACCTCGTTGGTCTGGAGTCGGTCGGTGCGGCGTCTACCCCTAGTGGGAAGCGACGCTCTGGCAAGGGCAAGGGGGGCAGAGGTGCTGGAGGAGCTAGCGGGGGCGGTGGAGGAGGCGGTGGAGGCAGTGGAGGGGGTGGGGGTGGTGGTGGGAGTGGTGGCGGGGGTGGAGGTGTCGGCGGCGGCAGTGGAGGCTTAGGCGCCGGCGGCGGTGGCGGTGGGAGCGGAGGTGGTGGAGGTGGCGGAGGTGGAGGAGGCGGTAGCGGAGGAGGAGGAGGAGGAGGTCGTGGCTCTTCGCAGAGGAGTGGCTCCGGTGGTGGTCAGCGCCAGCAGCAGCAGCGCAGTCGCGTGACCCTGTCCCCTCAGCAGCTCCGTCAGTGGTACGCTGCACGCCAGCGGGTTGGGGGTACTGGTCCGTGCACCTACGTCCTGCGCACCGGCGACCGTGCGGGTGAGCAGTGTGGGGGTGCGCACCCCACCCAGCGCTGCTTTGGCCGCCTGACGGACGCTTGGCGTCACCAGTTCCCTGAGGCCACTGAGATCCCTCGCTGGGGCGAGCTGTCTAGGGCAGGGGTAGCTATCTTTGACCTTGACTTTGATGCTATTCTTGCTGCTATGTATACTTTGTCTATTAGTGAGGAGGGTGAGTGTTACCGGTGTTTCTCGCCCGACCCGGGCGTTGCGACTGCTGCTCTAGGTGCTGGTGAGGCTGCTGCTCTTGGTGCTAGCGAGGCTGCTGCTCTAGGTGCTAGTGCGTCTTCTTCCTCCGGTACTGGTGAGTCTGCGCTCTTAGGTACTGCGTCGGCTTCGGCCTCCCACACCTTCACACTTGACTCGGGGGCTTCTCGCTCCTTCTTTCGAGACCGCACCACACTCACGCCGCTTGGTCGGCCAGTTGCAGTCTCCCTGGCAGACCCCTCTGGGGGTCCTGTCCTTCCTCACTTCTCCACTGTCCTCCCGTGTCCGGCGGCCCCCTCTGGCACACTGTTTGGTCTTTACCTTCCCTCGTTCTCTACGAACTTGGTGAGTGGTGCTGACCTACAGGATGCGGGGGTTCACCAGTTCACTCCTGCGAGTCAGCGGGTGACCCACTGCACGGACGCTCGGACAGGCCGACACCTGGCCACGTTTACACGTCGGCCGGGGTCGAGCCTATACACACTGACCACTGCGTCTCCTCCAGTCACTGCGTCTGGTCAGGTAGCTGCGTCGGGTCAGGTGTTAGCTGCAGCGTCCAGGTCTGGTCCTGAGTCTGCCCCCTGCTCGTGTCGCCTCCTGTCTCACGAGACTCTCCTCTGGCACCACCGCCTTGGTCACCCCTCCCTACTTCGTCTCCGAAGCATGGCCTCCCGTGTCCTTGTCTCTGGTCTTCCCCGGTCCCTCCCTCCCCTTCCTCCGGGGCCTGGCCCTACCTGTGTCCCCTGTGTCGAGGGGCGCCAGCGGGCTACCCCTCACTCCTCCCAGTTTCCTCCGACAGAGGCCCCGCTGCAGACGCTTCACATGGACGTGTGGGGCCCAGCCCGCGTCCATGGACAGGGTCACGAGCGCTACTTCCTGCTGGTGGTTGACGACTACTCGCGTTACACCATAGTCTTCCCCTTGCGCAGCAAGGGTGATGTCACTGAGGTGTTGATCGACTGGATCCGCGCAGCTCGTCTCCAGCTCAGGCGGAGCTTCGGCTCGGACTTTCCTGTTCTGCGTCTGCACTCTGACAGAGGCGGATGAAGGAATCTATTAGAGAGCGTAGCGATAACGAGAGAGTTTCTGCTATGGGAATGATGTTGCGCCAGCAACTTGGTAGAGTTTCGGTAGCATTTGCCTCTAAGGACTTGGTGAGAATTGAAGTAGCATTTTGGACTTCACTAGGAACATAGAAAATATATATCAAACACACAAGCAACACAAACATATATAGGCAGGCTGAAACGCACTCTGCAGCAGCTCACGCAGCTCCCCAAGCATGCTCTGACTGCGGCTGGCAGCAAGCAGGTCATCCACATACACCAGCAGCCAGCACATCTCCCCATCAGCATCAGTTTTGAAGTACAGAGCCTCATCCACCTTGCTCTTCTTCCATCCAGCCCCAAGCAGCACCCCATCCAAGGCCTCATACCATAGCATCGGGCTCTGCTTGAGCCCATACAGACTTTTCACCAACTTACAGACACGAGGAGTCCCATCCTCGTAGTAGCTCGGCTGCTCCATATAAAGGTCTCGGTCCAACACGCCATGGAGGAACGCATTCTTTACATCGAGCTGCATCAGGTCCAAATCAAGTGCAGCTGCAATCGCCAGAAGCACACGCGCCGTCACATAGCTTCCCACAGGGGCGTACGTCTCCTCATAGTCCACCCCTGCCACCTGCGTGAACCCCTTCACCACCAGCCTCGCCTTCTCACGCTCCACTATCCCATCAGGTCGGAACTTGGTGTTCAAAATCCATCGGTTCTTCATCACATTCACCCCTGGCGGACGCGGAACCAACTCCCACGTCCCCTGCTCAATCAAGCTCCGCATCTCTTCATCCATCGCCTCCTTCACCTTATCGCCCTTCCAGCAGCCCAAGGCCTCCTTCACTGTCATTTTCGCTATGTCCCACTGCCTCTCAGGATCAGCTGCAACGTCCGGGTCCAGGTCAGTCCACTCCTCGTCCTCCTCCTCGTCATCCAAGCCCGCTGGCTCAACCACTACAGCCCAAGCGTATCGAACAGGCGGGACACCACGAGTGATGCGAGTGGAGCGACGCACTGGTGCAGTGGTCGTCCCAGAAACCAACACACGACCACCATCTCTAATTCCCCACATCTCCTGCTCCCCTGTCTGCGGCTCCCCTGTCTGCTGCTCCCCTAGCTGCTGGTCCACCATCTGCTGCTCCTCAATCCGCTCCTCCCCTGTCTGCTGCTCCCCAATCTGCTGCTCCCCTGTCTGCTGTACTCCATCCATACTGCTCTCGTCCTGCAGCTGCTCAGTCTCAAGGCGCTGCCCGTCGGTGATCTCCACAGACGGTGGCACCTCCATCCCCCCCCCCACCAACGGGCGGCGCCGTGGAAGACGAAGAGGAGGGCGGAGCAGGTGCAGGAGGGATGGAGGGTGAAAGGGGGGATGGAGTAACAGGAGGAGGAGGGGAAGGCAAGGGGGGTGAGGAGGAAGAAGGCGGGACAGGGGGAATCACACGAGGGTAGACTGAAGGCGGAGGTGGGGTGGGGACCGAGGTAGGGACATAGGGCATAGCAGGAGGTGCGACCACCTCCTCCTCCTCCTCCGCCTCCTCGAGAGTGATCGGGAAGAGTGAGGGAAGGGGCTCATAGGGCATCGAACGCCCCCCATGCTCCTGCTGATGCCAAGCTTTCCATCCTGCTAGGGACATGGTCTCATAGAACACAGTTTCCACAGTGGTGATGAGGCGGTTGGACTCCAAGTCCAGCACGGTCCAGCCTTTGCTCGCAGCTGACACACCCAAGTGCAACCCCCAGCGAGCCTTAGGCGCCAGCTTCCCCCCACGCTGCGACCGTGGTACCATGTACTGCAGCATGCAGCCCCAAACACGCACCATACTGACATCAGGTTTGCGTCGGAAGGCGAGCTCGTACGGCGTCACACCAGAGGGTAGTGAGGCGTGCTCCACGCGGTTGCGCACCCAGACGGCCTGAGCCAACGCCAGGTGCCACCAGTGATGCTGCACACCCATGTGCAGCAACATCGTCCGCACCGCCTCCACAATGCTGCGCATCTCCCTCTCGGCCATCCCGTTCTGCTCCGGCGTGTACGGGCATGTGAGGTCATGGATGATGCCTTTACCGTCGAGGAAGAGCGTGAAGTCGTGCCCCAGGAACTCGCCACCCCGATCAGTGCGCAGCGCCTGCACCGTGGTCTTGCACTGTCGCTCTGCCATCGGGAGCCACTTCTGGAACGCCGCCAGCGCATCACTCTTCCGGGCCAAAGGGTAGGCCCAGACATATCGCGTCTTTCGATCCTTCAGCACCAAGAAGTAGCGGCTGCCGTCCTTAGCTGCTTCACGGAAAGGGCCACACAGGTCAGCATGCACCACCCCGAGCAACTCATCCTCCTCCTCTCCCACAGAAGGAAAGGTATGACGAGTGATCTTTCCCCCAACACAGGAAACACAAGGTATGCCTGACTTGCCCCCCTTCTCCAAATCCAAGCCCTTCACTGACCCGTGAGCCGCTGTGCGCTCAATGGCATCAATACCAACGTGTGCCATACGCGCATGCCACAGGTCCCCCTTAGACCGCACGCCCGTCGCCAAGGTACGAAGTGCCACCGTTTCGCCTTCCTGCTGCTGCGTCGAACACGGCTGGAAGTTCGTGCAGAGAACACGCCCCTTGAACTCCGCACGACCAAGAAGCGATCCATCTGGTGCTCGCAGCAAAGTCACATCCCCGGCATCCAGCAGCTGCACACCACATTCACGCAGCTGCCCAGCAGAGAGAAGACTCGCCTGCACTCCTGGTACGTACAGCACGTCCGGCACCAAGACACGCCTGCCCCCCTCTCCAAGAAGAGCGACTGTGCCCCGCCCCTGCACCTCCTGAAGCGCGCCGTTGAAGCCAGTAACCTGTTTAATACTGCCGCCGCTGCTCATCTCCACAAAGGCAGAACGATCTCCCATGAGATGGTGGGAGCATCCGCTATCAAGCAGCACGACGCTCGGGTTCGCCTTTACAGCAGCTGCAACAGCCTGTAAGGCCTCCCCGCCCTCAGGCTCTAGCACAACGAGAGGAGTCTGCTCCACAACGGGCTTCACCATCGCACATGATGATTGCCCGCTCCCCTTAGAGCCATCACCCCCCTTTCCGCTGCTACCTCCAGAACCCTCTCCATCGGTGTCTGCCTCCTTATCCGCCCGCTGCTGACAGTACTTAGCAACATGCCCTATTTGTCCACACACATAGCACTTCCCTTTGAAACCCCCTTTCCCCCCCTTCGGCTGGCCATCCTTACCCCCTTTCCACTTCTCCCCTCCCCCACTAAGCCCACCCCCATTCTTAGGCTGCTGCTGCTGTGCCGTAGTGGGAGGGGAAGGGAACAAATTCTGCTGGAATTGGGGCTTACCCTTCTTGGTAAAGACCTGGTTAGCCTGGGGAAGGAATTGGTCCTTTCGTCCCTCTGACGCCAGCGTACATTCCTCCTCGATGATGTAGCTAGCGAGGGTGTTCTCGTCCAACTCCTTGCGCACCTGCGGCAACTTCATCATCCTGCGTAAGAGGTTGTACTGCTGCGGCAACCCCTTCACCACGTGAGTGATGTACGACGCCTGCGAGTAATCTACGCCGGCCATCCTCAGGTTCACTAGGATCTGCTGCGCACGGTTGCAATAGGACGTAGCGGACTCATGCTCTCCCATCTCGAGGTTAGTGAGCGCCTGCTCTAACTGACCAATGTACAGATCGTCCTTCGCCATGTACGTGCGCATAATAAACTTCCATGCCTGATAGCCGGCATCAACCTTCATGCGACACGCCTTAAGGGCGATCTGTACGGTTGGGGAGCAGCATCGGGAAATAGTGGTGAATGTCAGCAACTGCATCGCGCGGAACTGAGAGAGATGCGCAAGCGCACGCGCTGGTGGAATAGGGGTGGTGCCATCTATGAATCGCTTTAGCTGAGCGATCTCAAGCTGCGGCTCGATTGATTCTGTCCACGTCGACAGGTCGTGACGTCCTTCTAACGGACTAGTGACAACGATCTTGTCTGGAGTGAATCTGAAGTAGCCATAGTTGGGGGCTATTCCCTCGTCCCTCGACATCGATCCAATTTGGGTAACGCCCTGCATAGTCTCACTATCGAACTCTTCCGCAATTCCTCCCCCAGCAACGCTTCGCCGTCCTACATTCGCATGCTCTCGTGACGCTGCTGCACGATGAACACGCTCCTGTACACCGCCGACGCTAGCCGTACTAAACCGAGTTGGTCTTCGCAGGACCCCACGCGACATCAACCCATCAAACTCCTCGTCATCGCTATTTCCGCCATCGACAGCCATATCCCACGCACTAGTACCTCCCGCAACTTGCTCAACATTCTCTACACGTGGGGAAGGGTGCTCACGACGCCGACGCGAGCGCAATCCCTCCAACATTAGCTCGTATTCAATATCACTAATCTCACCACGAGAATGACGAGCCACGAGATCCTCCTCTAGAGTGCGCAAATTACCGGCCTCCACGTTCGCCTCCTCAGTACTCATCCTCTACGACGTCTCTATAAGGTACCACAAATTAAAATAAAGTGGCCCTTCCTTAAATCCCTCGTCTCGGGGTCACCTCACAAGGGTCCTCAGACGAGTGGTAATAAATTACCAAACGCCCTATCCTTGGGTCCGAGAACGTAACTGGAGGGAAATCAAGAGAGGTTCAACTTAGATTAATAAGCGCCCTTCACTAACGCCGCACGCCAAGGCGAGTATACGAACGCGAATATCAACGACGACGGAAATCTATGCGTGTTCGTTCCACGCTCACCGCACCATGAAGGAATCTATTAGAGAGCGTAGCGATAACGAGAGAGTTTCTGCTATGGGAATGATGTTGCGCCAGCAACTTGGTAGAGTTTCGGTAGCATTTGCCTCTAAGGACTTGGTGAGAATTGAAGTAGCATTTTGGACTTCACTAGGAACATAGAAAATATATATCAAACACACAAGCAACACAAACATATATAGGCAGGCGAGGGTTTCACAAGAGGTTGCGTGGGCGCTGCGAGTAACCCAACCCCACGAAAGTGGTGTGTGGGTGAGCGAATGCGCCTCGCCAATTTCCCAACCCAACTCAGCATCGACTTCTCGCTTCCGTGCACACCACTCCACCAACACAGCAAGGAGTGGTGCGACTCTCAAGGAAGCACCAACGACTCCCACGGACTCTCGCTTCTTCATGCGACCTCCATCGAACTCATTCGTCGGTGTCGAGTAGACTCGGTCGCTAGGCGTCGACCTGCCAAGTCAAAGGTCATCGAGGGCCCTTGCTGTTGTAGGGCCCTCTAACAGCGGAGAGTTCTCCTCTGACCTTCTGCGAGCCTACTGTCGTGCACGAGGCATCCGCCAGACCTTCACGCTTCCGGACTCTCCACAACAAAATGGGATTGCTGAGCGCCGCATTGGCATGGTCATGGACGTCGCCCGTACGTCCATGATGCATGCGGCTGCCCCCCATTTTCTGTGGCTGTTTGCGGTTCGGTACGCGGCGCATCAGATCAACCTTCAGCCTAGGGTCTCCATGCCGGAGACCTCCCCAGCTTCTCTATGGACGGGGAAAGTTGGCGACGCGTCTACGTTCCGTGTCTAGGGATCTCGGGCGTTTGTCCGCGACTTGTCTGCGGACAAGCTGTCCCCTCGTGCTGCTCCTTGCGTCTTCCTGGGTTTCCCCTCTGACGCGCCAGGGTGGCAGTTCTACCACCCCACCTCTCGCCGTGTTCTGTCCTCCCAGGACGTCACGCTCGACGAGTTGGTCCCCTACTTCCGTCTCTTCCCCTACCGCACTCCGTCCCTCCCCCCGCCACCGCTCTTCCTTGTACCAGGTCCCCCCCCGGTAGACCCCCTCCCCCCTCAGGGTCCTACCCCTTCAGGTGTGTCCCAGGTAGACGCTGTTGAGCCTGTCGAGGTCGCTGGTGACTCTGGTGCTGCTGAGGATGCTGAGCCTGTGGGTGCAGACTCTAGGGGTGCTGAGCGTGTGGGTTCTATGCCTGGGGGTGCTGAGCCTGAGGGTACTACGACAGGGGGTGCTGAGCCTGGGGGTGCTGAGTCTAGGGGTGCTGAGCCTGGGGGTGCTAAGTCTGGGGGTGCTGAGCCTGGGGGTGCTACGCTTGGGAGTGCTGAGCCTGGGGGTGCTGAGCCTGGGGGTGCTACGCCTGGAGGTGCTGAGCCTGGGGGTGCGGAGCCTGAGGGAGCTGGGCCTGCTGGTACTTTGCCTGGCGGTTCTCCGGGTGCTTCTTCTCGCCGGGAACCACTCTCTCCACAGGAGCTGCGAGAGTGGTTTGCCCGGCGCTCGAGGCGAGCTGCT